GCCAGGCTCGTGCCTGACTGTACTACAGCCTGGGAGCATGCGGGGGGCGGGCTAAAGGTTCCATATCACTGAGGGAGATACTCGCAGACTCGGTCCAGGGACAAACACCACAGGTCTGCGCCACCTTACCTGACTTCCGAGAATGACAGAACACAAACTCAAATTGACGACACCAGACACAATATGTCAAGGAGGTCACGGGGGTGTATACCGCGCGCAACCTCCCCACTGTCATTGCTACTTGAAGATGAGACTACACCGATAAACAGGCTAGGTGTCCACACCTCCACCCCCATCCCATCTCCTCTCTCTCATCTTGTAAACCTTCTCTCTCCCACCTCCTGCACCCCCCTCCGGTCCTGCGGGCACGCGCTCATTAGTTATACTGGCTGACAAATCTGTGGCATCTGCTTTAACCAGAGAAGCGATATCACAAGAATTGCCATACAACCTAGGAGCCTTTCTACCTGACTACCGACACGGCAGGGAAAGGGTGTAGCGTGCCTCGGCTCATTAACGCTGCAAACCTCCCAGGATCCCAGATAGCAGCTGGGGCACTTCTACAGTTGATAACACATTACCCCCGCACTTGGGCCCATCACTGAATACTCCACAGAACCCCTTGTTTCAGCATTGTACCGGAGACCTGCGCGTCTCTCTTTACATATTTGGGGATCTGCATATTCAACCACTTACGTATGCTTACCTTTTGATATAGGTGCCTGCGTGTACCACTTGACTTCACGTTCTTAATTTTTTTGCACTGTTATTATGAAACTTAAAAAAAAAAAGACTTCTGATAAACAGAGATTTACAATAAAAAAGTTGCCTGTTGTGACCCCATCCTATCTCCCCTTTCATTTTCTACTATTTCCAGACTCCATTCTTTTGCTCTTCCTTTTGTTCTCCCGTTTCCCCTCCATGTCTGGGGATAATGGCAAGGAGCAGGTTTGGACTTCTTCTTTCAGCCCAGTTGCCATGCACCTGTTTTATTGAAAATAAATAAATAAATAAAAAAAACAGCCTGTTATATCCACAACCTTTGCTCTTTACATGTAATAGACTGGAACAAACATATGTATATCAGCCTAGCTCCATCTGGTGGCAATTGCAGTACACCAGAACCACTACAGCTTAATACAGTAGTTCTGGTGACTAGAGAAAGTCCCTGCGTGCTGAGCATTGTATGCACAATCTTTTCAGAGAAAATACAGTGTTTACATTGCTAAATACAGGTTAGGGAACACAAAACAATTTATATACAGTTTTCAATTTTTTCAACAAGGCTTCTTAAAATTGCCTATCTTCGCAAACAAAGTCGGGGTCAGTTAAACCATATAGCCATCTAGTGTTAAGCCCACCACTATTTCACAGTACCACAATATTAGTGAGTCCTACACTAATTTTAACATGAGAGATTAACACGCTTACTGCCTAAACTGCTTCCAGAGACTCTCCTCAATTTATGTTTTCCTATGGTCACCTCCAAAGAGGCACCTATAGTGGATGGGTGGGGTGCTCAGACAAATATTAATCTGGTTTGGGAGAAAAGGTGAGGAAAAATACCTTTCCCATGCGATTCAAGGGGGAACGGGGACATGAATAGTTAGTTTAACACTATAGTGTCAGGAATACATGTTTGTGTTTCTGACACTATAGTGTTCCTTCAAGAGTAGAACAAAAAACTACTGTAAAAAACATTCATGGCCTAGAACTCTTATAATAAATCTCATAATGCCTAGCCTGTTTGTAACCACTAACCTTAACTCACGTAATCCTAAACCCTGAATTCTGAACAAAACTGATATAACGTATAACCAAAACAAAAAAAAATCATAACATGTAGACATATTATAACTAAATTCCATAACCCACTATCATAAATCTTAGAATCTCCAGCACATCCCTAAAATCTACTCCTATGTCTCATAATCCTTAAACTAATTCTAATATCTAATACAAACTTTAAGAACTTCTGTTTTAGCACAAATGGTTAGTACAGCCAGTACACTTTACAGTGCACCAAAAATAAATATTATAAAAGTGAATGGAGCAGATGTAGTATAATTTCAAAGTTGACATTTTAAATGCACAAATTATGATGCACTTGATCCAGATATCAACATTTCAAAAGAACACTTGACAAAATTACCTCTGTCTTGCCAAGACATTTACAAGTTTACAAAATGTCAACAATCTTAGAATATCATGCCTCCTGTTGTGGACAAAAATATTAACTCAATTTATGTTGGTAAAATGCCTATTTACTCAACATACCTACAATCAGCATTATTCAACTTTATATGTGATTTACCTAAAATGGCCGCTAGGGAGTTTCCCTTCGACATCGACTAACACCCTCACTAACAAGATGGCGCTGGAATCTGGGGGAGACCTCCAAGATACCAGTGACATCACACCCGGTAGGAAGAGCAATAAATGAACCACTTAACACCTAACCAATTATTGATGTATTATTTCATGTTATCTCTTACAAAGCATATGATGTAATTTTGCTTTATAAGGGGCATGCCATCTCCGATCTCTGATCTCCCTCCCCAGTCCGCAGTCACATTGCAGGGCTGGAACTTAGACAATACCAGCCCTGCATTAGCCGGCAGGGGAGACGGCCCTCCCGGATCCGCCAGTGGTCCCACCATCCTGCTTTAGTTCCATGGTGTCTTGTTGGGGAACTGTCCCTAACAATCATAGTATGAGTGCATCAATAGAAGCTCCCATGCTATGATTAGGGCACTAGGACCCTGCAGGGAGCATTAAAACAGTGCTCCCTGTGTGTCCTGCCCTCAAGAGGCTGGGCTGCGTGGTTGACAGGCAGCTTGGTGTCACTGCCCTCTCCTTCACCTCCTTCGCACAGGTGTAGCAATTTGCAGGATGCCGGAGTTGGGCATGGACTCCAGATTTACAGTATACTAGGGAATAAAAGAGTCACTCTAGGCATCTCAGTGAAGTAGTTGTGGTGCAAAGACCCTGCATGTTATATTTTTAACAATATTTTATTCTGAAGATAAAAATATCTGCCTTCTTTTGTTGTCTTTTGTTTTGTAGGCAGCTGGAACACTCTTGTTCAGTTTTGTTCAATGTTCTATCATCAGCCCCCACAGTATGCAAACCCTAGACACAATGGCTAAGGCTGGGTGAGTAACCCAAGCAATGTCACAGATAGTGATGACTGGTTTATTGGCAATTTAACCTCCTAACTCAATGATAAAAGAAAAAACATCAACTGATTTTTGACCTCTGCCCTTCCTAGGTGCAGAAGTGTAGGTAAAAAAATGGAAATGGAATAGTGAGTAAATTAACCCCTTAAGGACGGAGGCAATTGTACACATTCTGATCAAAACCAACTATAAACAAAACATTGAATTTGCGCTATATGTCTGTTCAACCGTAATTCACCTCTTTCATATTAAGTGCACCCACACTTATTGTATATCATTTTTTTCAGGAGAAACAGGGTTTTAATTTTTCATCAAAACATTTATATATGAAACATAATTTAACATGAATAAAATCTAAAAAAGTTTTGCATTCTGCATTTTAACAGTGAATGTTATAATACGGTTAGTTTTTACTGCAATTAAGTACACATATTTGTGTTTAGCGATGTCTCGTGAGTACAGCAGTACTCCCCATATACAGGTTTTATGGGGTTTTGGAAAGTTACAGAGCTTTCCTTTTTTTCAGTTTTTGCACATTGAAATTTTCCAGATTGTTTTTTCTGGGCCCGTGTTGCCTTTGATAACCAGGAATGAAAATCAACCCTATCATGGCATACCATTTGCAAAGGTTTAGCTTTTCAAAAAGCTGTATATGTGTAGAGAGTGTCCTATGTTTCATTTTGCAAAAAGTGCAGATTTCAATAGAAATTGTCACTTTTATAAATTCATCTGGTTATACCCAATTGAGTTTCACGTAGGCAACAGGTCCTGTTATTTCTTGGTTTGGTTAGTTCAATGGAGTCAAACTTAAGGTACAGCTGCTCAGAGCACCTGGAAATGTGGGCAGAGTTAAAAGAGGAGGGCTTGCAAAGGCAGCAGATGAGAGAACTGCAGCTTTTGCAAGCTGTTTTTAGATTTACCCCCAATGAATCCTTGTAGTGCAGATTTATTACAATATTACGGAGAAGGCATGCCCACCATAATAAGCAACAGTGACAAGAATTGTATCTTACACATCCCAGCACGGGGGACCAAAAAAGTAAGGAAGGGGGACGACAAAAATTACAAAATGAAACTGGGAACTGAGTGAATTTCACGGCACTACTGGATGCTTTCTCAGCAATTTCTCCTGGAGTTGCCTGGTGAGACTATAGTAATGATATTGTATTTGTAATGGGTAATTTGAAAAACAGCTGCCTGATGTAAAAATTACAAATAAAACACTAATATCCTCCTGTCCCCTCCACTAATTGTAGATATCCAGGCCTTCAGCCCGCCAAGCAGCCCCCAGCAACCCCTATGCTTTAGACCACAATAGCTTATAGAGCAAGTCATTTTAGTGGACACATAAAAATAAAAACTCATTAAATAAAAATAGCACCTGAACTAATACTAAGATGATTTTCTGCAAACCTCTAAATCAACAAAACTACATATCTTTTTTTTTTTTTAAACTTTTTTGTTTTATCAACTTTTATTTTCACAGCTATTCATGTAAATGGAGTCACAATATGCAGGTTCTCTGCAAAGAAGCAATCATTGCGTAGCTGCTAATTGCAACGCATTTACAGTTCAAAAATGCATTTAACCAATTAAAGACTATTCATGTCATCAAACAATCTGGTTCACAACTTTTCGGAGTATGGAAGATCCATCTCTGCAGGGACAAGATTGAAATGATGGCATAGCCAATAAAAGATCATTAAAGAGTTAATCTCATTGGGCCAAAACATAAACAAGAGACAAAACGGAAATGCAAATAGACAAAGCAGCCACAATATAAAATAGCACACTGTCTAGAATTTTATGTTCTTTAGTAGTTTAAGTTAATCTGACTGACTCATTCTTGGAAGCTTTGTCAAAGTTCTCAACGAGAACTACATCATCCTCTTCCTCACCGGTGGCAAATGGTGCTTTCCCATCCAGTGATTGTTTGGGCAAAGGCTCTGCATGCCTCCTAAAGCTAGTCAAACTATCAGCCCTGAGTTGGTTCAGAATACTGGGCAACAGCTCTGTGAGCTGCTTAGTCTCTGCATGACCTGTAATAGTGAAGGTGTTGGCAGCCAAAGAAGCCTGAACTTTAGGATTGTTAAAGTGGACAACAGTCCCTTCGTTTGTAAATATATCCTCTATGCCAGAGATGTTATTCACACCCAGCTTCTTCAGGGAGAACTGGAGTTTCTTGTCATCAGCAGTGTCTGTTCGGTGGACAGTTCCTTTTCCACCAATGCGCACTTGTGCTTGCAATTTTGCTACTTTGTCTTGATTCATGATTGTTTCTTTCATCATCAGCTGCCAGAGAGCGGGAGTTGTTTAAGAACAGAGCAGGTTTAAAGGCCTCCCAAACAGTCCCAACACAGGATGTGCACACACGTGGGGAGCAAGATGAAAGCCAAGAGCCAAAACCATTTATCTTTGTGAGAAGCTTTGGACTGGAGGTTTGACCAAATTTGATCGGATAATGCCTAGCACTAGCAAGACGTAAGTGCTGTGTAAAAAGAGGGTTGAACTTCATTAGTTGCAGAGACCAGTTCTGCAGTTCATAAAAAGTAAGTTTTAAAGTCTTAGGATATATTTGTGCAAATTTTAGTATATGTATATTTTTGAAACCTACATGCAATAAAATGTTTTTTTTTAAAGGAGAGTAGTGTTTTATTTTCTGACTGCTGCACCTAGGATGCAGTGATGTCAAATGCTTTAAACAGGGACAGAGTGTTTGCCCCATGAATACTTTAGTAAGATTAAGGTGGGCAGCTTCGTAGCCACCTGTTCAATGTGATTTTCCCTAATCTCACTGCATACTGTGTGACAGAATACTAGACTGCATCATAGAAACTAACAAACAATTGTCAGAGGACTTGGAGGACCACCACAATTCTATGCCTTATTGGCAACATGCTGGGCTCTTGATGAGGAGAACGTTGTTTTTTAGTCATATTATTGCAGGGTTCACTAATACTGCTACACATTTTATTAATTTCTCACCTACATATCATGGTGTATAGAAAATGTAGGGGAGCCGGTCCTTTTTCCTTCACAAATATTTGGTGGCCCTGGGATCCTTGTTCACTTCTCCGCAATCTATTTCATTTTTAAAAGTGTTCTTGTGGCAGCTTATGCAGCAAATGATCCAGTTCTTTATGTAGAAACAGGCTCAGGAATTAGTGATCTATTTAGTAAATATATCCTATTAATTAATTTAACTTCAATACAACTACTGGCGATTGCATTGATTTTTAACTGAAATTGTTCAGAATTAACCTGGTTCTGTTTTTGAGCAGTTTTCACCTTCACCTGATGAATTACCCTCAATTTCTGTTTAAATTGCATAAGCTTCAATGTGATTCAGAAAGAATTGATAAAGGGCTGTCTTTACATAAAGGCATAAAATAAAGAGTTTAATTATTAGACGACTATTAGATATACAATCATGGGATTGTCATAAATATGATTTGTCATAGTATGTACAAATTGTCACTGTACAGGCAGAGAGAAGTTTACTTTTTTGTATTTTAATGAAGGGTCAGCTTATAGCTATAGGGATTTTTGCAATCATAAAACCATAGGTACTGTGAGAAAGGGGCAGTGTCTTCCTGGGTTATCACAGTTATTACTTACCTCGATCACAGAGTTAGGTGTCCTAATTGGGATCAATCTCTGAACTAGGAATCTTTGGAAAATAATGTTTTGGAGAAAATTGTTGATTTAAAGCAGTTCTCCCACTGCAAGTATTTTCACCACCCTCACCAAATGCCATTCTAAAGAGAGTCATTCTTAATAAATGTATTCCATACAGTACTCTATATGCATATTTAAATATGTTTATTAATCATACATTAGTGCACATTGGTACCTTAACAGGAAGACTCTTAAAGTGTATCTTTTCAATTACTAAGTAATACATTTCAAGTATCCACTACTGGACATTTTGTAGTTGCTTGTCCAGTAGTAGATGATATCCTTATCTGGTCAAGTAGATAATATTCTTATCTGATCTTAGCCAGGTGTACAATCCACCAAGAAAACTATTGATATATACACTAGTGGTTCCTAAACTCTGGGCAAGGACCTAAAAATGGTTTTCCCAGTAGACACTGAAAGGACCCAATCAGGGTGCTTGACAGAATATATAGTCATTTATATTACAGTAAAATTGAAGAAAGAATCAATCAGCCAATTTTAAAAGCAACAATTGGGCCATAGACCTAATGTCATGTGAGACCTTGTGAATGAAAGGTTAACAACCAAAAAGGGGCGCCGCGGAATGTTTCCCCAGTGTTAGGATTATAGCACCTGGAAACATTACTGCTAAACAGGAGCCCGGTTGGGTGCCGTGATCCTTTAACACCGCGACCAGGACCCTGTAACGTCGGCCGGCTGGGAGGAAGTGACAGCTTTCAGGGATGGAGAAGGGAGACAGCGAGGGAAGGAGAAGAGGCATCTGCAGCATAAGGGGAGAGGAGCACTTCAGGAGCTGCTCCAAACTCCTCACTCCCACCAGCAGCAAGACTCCAGGCCACCCTGCTGGACACATAAGGTAAGCTAACAGGAGGTTGGCTGGAGATATAAAAAAATAGCACTTGTGTGTATGTGTACGTATAAGTGTGTGTGCATGAGTGTGTGTATCAGGGTGTTTGTGAGTGTGTGTCAGGGTGTTTGTAAGTAGATGTGTGTCAGGGTGTGCATCTGTGTGTGTGTATATATGTCAGTGTGCTTCTGTGTAAGTGTGTGTCTGTGTGTGCACACACATCTGAGTATGTGCATCTGTCCCAGGGTGTGTGTTTTTATGTCAATGTGTGTATCTGTGTCATGGTGTATCAATGTTTGTGTATATCAGGGTGCGTGTGTGTATATGTATGTGTCGGTGTGTATCTATTTGTGTGTGTGTTTGTGTCGGTGTCTATATGAATTTGTGTGTATGTGTTGGTGTATTTTTATATGTATATGTGTGTTAATGTGCATGTATATCTGTGTTAGTATGTATGTATGTATGTGGTAGTGTATGTGCATACATCCAAGCAGTCAACCAGCACAACATGCAAACATACTCCTGCAATCTAACAGAAATATTACATACAAATAAACATTTGCATTGAAACGTGAACATTACATTCAGACACACCCCTGCAATCAAACACAAACATTACAAACAAACACACCCCTGTAATAAAACACTAAAACTATATACAAGCACCCCTTCAAACACCAACACTGTACATTACACTATAGCTCCAGTAAATGCCGCAGAACTGTGCAGATATACAACCTATAAATTTTGACTTGGGGTGCTTTGGAAAAATATTGAAATATTAAGAGCGCCTTGAACCTAAAAAGTTTGGGAACCACTGGTTTACACCAAAAAGAATAATCTGAAATTTTTTTGCACTGTATGAATACTACAAATAAAGGTATGTCTCAAAGTATGATTAAACTTGAGTGTATCTCTAGTGATGGTTGCCAGATCATGATTATATTCAGGGACACATATGTCAAAGACTTACCAGCAGTGACGGCTGGTGATGTTTTAAGATGGTGGGGTGCTACTTATAAAATACAGAGAGCTGAGCATAATACAATGATGCAAATACAAAAAAAATATCTGGGCACAACATAAAGATAAGAAACAATAAAGGATATAATAAATACAGTGCGAACAGTGCAAGTGTGATCTAACACCTGAGTGGGGAACCCCTTATTCCACTCTCAAATAAACATAAGGCAATACATACAGTAGGTGGATCACACTTCTTACAATATCTAAACAAAGAATAAATAAACACCAATATAGTGTAATATTGTCGGCAACTTAATGGCCAAGATGTAAGTAAAAGTGGTCAGGTACTCACAAACCGAGAGCCAAACAAGGACATGTGGCTCTCATGGAAACAGCACTGGGACTATTAATAGGATGTCCCTCTCCTTCTGAGGATCTTCTGTTCACCCAAAGAAATGGAGCTGAAAACACTTACTAAAAAGTAAAGTGTTTATTTCCAATATTGGTAGCAAAAGATAAAAATAAGGAGAGTATCTCCAATAAAACATATATACTTGAATAAAGTAAAAGAGTCCAAGTAAAAGTCTCTACCAAAACGCGTTTCCCCCCCCCGTGCCAGGGGCTTCCTCAGTCGGTAATGCTTCCTTTCTGCTTTCCTGTTCTTTTATATGTGTTTCGCCGGTCTTTGGAACGCAAAAGTTCGCGGTGGAACGCACTTCCGGTTTCGTCGTTTCCGGATATCGGCGTCATCTCCCTCAGCCTTATTCCCGGCATGCAGAGGTCTTATTGGCATGGCAACGAGCCGGTTGGAACGCACACTGTATGACGTGTGCGTTCCAGCTCGGAAACATCGGTAATACAGAATAAAAAACAACCTAAGTTCACAATAAGAGCATAGTAGCTGATCAAAGGGAACATAAATTCGCAATAAAAACATAGTAGCTGATCAAAAGGATATTCTCTTACCCCCAACCGTTAATAAAGTGACAAGGTGTTAAATAGAGGTGCCTATATATCATCCAACCTCCATTAGAATCAGTATCATAATTATTTAAAGTGCTAGTATATATTAACTTTTATTTTAATAATGGCGAGTGAGATATTTGGGTGTCAAAAAGTGCCAGTGTTTACATACACGTTATTAGTGCCAAATGTCCTTGTTTGGCTCTCGGTTTGTGAGTACCTGACCACTTTTACTTACATCTTGGCCATTAAGTTGCCAACAATATTACACTATATTGCTGTTTATTTATTCTTTGTTTAGACAACATAAAGATATCTATAAAAACACAGAGCTGGCTTCAACACCGAGGTAACTTTAATAATAGTTAACTAGTCATTGTTAAACACTAATCAATAATGTATAGCTATTTGTTAGCACTTGCACTTAAATCAATCAATATAGATAGTCCTTGCTGTTTGTGTTACTTAATATTGATCATATTTGCAATATTATATGTGTTGATATTGACTGAGAACTGTATCATACGATCCCTAGAGGGTATATCTGTGTTAGCAAGATGCTAACTAGCAAGATGCTATACTATTGTGCAATAAATTGGTAATTATATTCAAATATCTTTAATTGTTTTTATTAGCTATATTGATTGACCTTTAGCAGTTATGAATTAATATTTATGTCAGAGTATACTTTAATAGATTTATTGTGCTATGTGTACATCTTTAAATGTTTAATATGACGGAGCAGACTTGTTGCCTGTTTGGTCTACTTGACTTTTCGTTTGGTCAGTGCTAGTCACTGTGCTGATTGTGCATCTATTTTGACGCTGTT